GGTATCGATATCGGTTATCGGATACATGAGTTTGAAAATATGGGCATATCGGATATCGGCCAAAATCCCAATATCGTGCATCCCTAGTTATTTTCTAAAAATCAGTTAGAATAAATCTGGGTGTAGCGGAGCACCATGAAGCTGCAGGAACGCCCTGGATGAACGTCTGGAATTCTCTCCACAGTCGAATGAAGTGAACCAAGGAGACGCCCTGGAGCACAACTTCAGCGCCATGTACGCGGCCCTGATGTTCCCCGTCAGTCACCTCCTCCACGGCTCGCTGCTCCAGCAGGTCTGTCCACGCTCCCTTTCCTCAGGTCCTCGCCTCTGTCACGTCTCTGCTAACCCGCGTTACCGCTGTGACCTCAGGCGTCCCAGAAGGCCGTGCTGTCCTCCTGGTCCAAGCTGTACCGCGTGTTCGCCCGCTGCTCCGCTCTGGTGGCGACGGCCGAGGAGAACATCTGCTGCGAGGAGCTCTGTGTGAAGATGGCTGCGGCCGTGGACAGAGCGGCGCTGGCGGTGAGTGCCGAGGGGGAGGAGTTAAAAAAAGACCTTCTGTTGTATTTATGTCGTCTGCGTTGATCCTGCAGGTCCCGTCGATGCTGCAAGCCGTCTGCAGCATCCTGCAGGTCATGGTGGAGTGCGTGGACTTCTCTCCGTACACGCCCACCTTCCAGCAGAAGCTGAAATGTAAGTTGTGGAGCTTTTAATTTTCTTTTTGGGCGCCAGAGAGGATTCAGCTCGATTAAAACCCGTTTGCCTTCCAGCTCCTCACACTCTGCTGCACTGGGCGCGGAAACGGAGCAAAGCCCTGGGGAACCTGTCCACCTTCGTGTCCCTGCTGGCCCAGTGTCTGGAGGTTTACGCCGCGGCCCCGGAGGATTCCTCAGAGGCCGCCGGCTCGGCCCTGGCCTCCGTCGTCTCCACTCTGTTCGCCAACCTCATCCTCGCCAACTGCGTCACCGAGGCGCTGAGCGCCCTCGTTCGGCCGCTGACGCTCCTCTACGAACACGCGGCAGGAGAGAGCTGCAGGTTCTCCAGCCACCTCCAGGGAAAGGTTGGTACCACAGCAAACATCTTAGCGCCGGAGGGAGGGGGGGTCTGTAGGTGCATTAAAAGGTTCCTGTGGCTCCGCCTCAGCTGGAGAAGCTCCTCTCTGAAGTCCTGGGCTGCCTGCAGTCGCGCTCCCCCGTTGCCCATGACGACGAGCTGCTGGCGCTGCTGTCCCCTCTGCTCTGCGTCGTCTTCCCACACAAGAACAAGCACCTGCGCGCGGCGGCCACGCAGTTCTGGAACGCCACCTTTGCCAACACGGCCAGCCTGGCGTATCCTGAGGAGATCAGGTGAGTGTCGGTGGTGGGGGGGGGTCGTAGCACCAGCGAGACGCAGCTGTAACCTTCTTCCTCCCTCAGACCCGTGCTGAGCCAGGTGAAGCAGAAAACTCCCATCATCCTTCCCGGCTTCCAGGCCGTCAGCGTTCCCGACGAGCTCAGTGAGAACGGCTCGGTAAGTCGCGCTACATTAGTGTCGCTTTAAGTCCTTCAGGCGGCTTCCTGACTCCATCTTTGCCCGTTCAGAGTGAGAGCTCTCAGCTGGAGACCAAGCTCAGCGGGATGCCCATGTCTTCGGCCGGGAAGAGGGACTCCATGCTCGCCAAGCCGGACGCCAATGACAGGAGCTCCTCCAAGACGTCCAGACCCGTCTCGGTAAGCTCTAAGCCAAAGGTCGCTCATCCGTCGGCTTGATCTTCATTCAGATCCTGTTCTGTCCGATTGCTCTCAACGTTTCATTCCTGTACTTGATCTTTTTTTCTTTTCCAAACCAGGGAAACTAGCTCCATGTTTACAGGTGGTGTGATGTCATCATTCCAGTTAATTGGTCTTCCCTTGAAACATCCAGTCTGTGTCAAAGTGACGAATTTATCTTTATTTTAAAAGTCTTAAAATCCCCCCAAAAATGAGAACATCGTCGTTGTTCAATGCTATAGCACACGGATTGTTTACATTGAGATCGGTCTAACTAGGGAGTACCAATATGGCGGCCGGTGGCTTTACTTCAACCCCACATTACCAACAGACAATCAGCAACAAGGGAATAGAGATCAGTGGTTTAATCCTGACTTCTGACTGGATCAGTTTAAATTCATTTAAAATTATCACTGGTTATCGTAGTAAACGGTAAAAATCCGGTTTATTGCCCAGGCCTAATATCGATGCAACTACTTTGTTGGTATTTAGATTTTATTTTTTTACAGTGTAAAATACATAAATGCATTTTACATTCCTAATGAAGTATAAAAGCTCGATTAAAAAAAACCCTGACATGCATGAGGCTTATATAATTGATTAAAATATAATCTTGTACTTTTTTTTTAG